TCAAGCTTCCATGAACGTACATGCCCGTCCTCTCCACATGTAAAAATTGATTTCGACTATACAGTCGTTTTGGGTCGTGTGAGCCAGAGTATAGTTTGAGAGATTTGGGAGAGGAGCTGCAGCAGAAATGAGATCTGCTTCTTTTTACGGTACTTACATTATTATCCAAAAATACGGATCGAACGAGTTCTTCGCCGTGGGCACCCGGAAGTCTCCACGTATTGGCCAGGTCGAAGTCAAATTTGGGCGAGCATACTAAAGGTGTGAAATCGAGTCGTTGTTCACTTGCTCAGGCGAGCAATGTAAGAGACTATGTATACCCCGCAAAAACCATACGACAAAAAGAAAGTATTCAAACCTTGTTTTCCCAGACACTACAAACATGTCCCCACGAACATCGAGGACTTGCGCTACATAATCATTTTGTAGTACAGGACGAAGATCACCGAACTGGATAGGTGCGGGCTCCACGGCGTTCTCGTCGGGGTTGTTAAGAGGGTGGACCGAAAAAACCTCGTCATGGCTTAGGGCGTAGATTGCGTGTTCCCCGAAGAATCCAGCTCTGTGAATGGATCCATGGTTAAAAACCTGTAGAAGAGCCTCGTCTTCGTCTGAAATCGTGGTGTCGTAGATGTTAACGAGCCCATCAGTGCTTCCAGATAAAAGGACATTGCGCCGGGTCGGGTGGAATTGCAACTACGAATAGTTTAGTGGTTGACCAAAGGGAAATTGAGCCAGCACTAGAAATACATCTCCTGGAGGGCTGTGTGGCCCAACCACAAAGTCCGCAACCAAGATGAACAAGGGAAACGGAAGGAAGTTGGGGTTTGCAATGGAAGAGGAGGGAACAAATTAATTACCTCAGTTATATCGTCGTTGTGACTCTCGACATATTGAAGCCGGGGCTGGCCCGGAGACCTAATGTCCCTGGTAATAATCGGTTAGCAGGTCCGACGAGAGGTAGGGAACTCTCGCACGAGCAAGAAAGTGAATGAGAAGGTTTGTGCGGTATATGGCCTCTGGGTCACTAGCACAGCAGTGGGAGTGCCGGTAGAATGGTGGTCTGGGGAAGATAATGAAGAATTGGTGGTACCGAATCCGCATCAGATGCAAAATACGTGGCTTCAGCCTCGCGGGATAAGTCGCATAATCAGCCCAACAACTTACCAAAATATCACAGAGGATTGAGATGACACAAGCTCGGTTCCAGCAACGATGGTGCACGGTTCCAGGCTACAGGTGAGTGCGGTGATGGGAGCCGACTTATCTAAAGCAGGAGCTGATCAGCACACCGACCAAAGACTTCAATTTTGCATGGAGCTTTCTCATAGTAATATATATATTTCTTGGGGGGAATAAACAAGATATGAAGGAAGGGCACATGTCAAAACCATTGCTGGTGACAAACGTGCGTTAAAGATGAAAAATAGGGACTGAATGAGCGGCGTTAAAAAAGAAGGGATGCGCCTCAGGATATCAAAATGGAAAAAGCACTAGCGAAAAGAGACAACAACTCAATGCGCATATGGGGATTGTCCTACCTACTGTGACCGTCAGAACTGCATCTCTTCTTTTCCCCCTCACATCCCACAGCTTCACGGTCCCATCTCTGCCCGAAGTGGCAACTATGTTCTTCCCTTCGACAGAGGCGGGATCAACTTCGCAGACACAGGTCACCCCACCACCATCTTGACCAGGATGAATATCTGCGAACACCCCATCAGGGAGGACATTCAATGTCTCGCGATCAAAACGTCGCAGCGAGTTATCTGAAGAGATCGCAGCCAACGCATCAATGCCACTCTGGCATAGAGAGTAGATGTAGCTCCCAGGCGGCAGGGAGAGAGATGACTGGCTTGTCTGGTGCAACAATCGATACTGTGATGGGGAAGCCATGGGACACGGACCAGTCGAGACTCGATAGCAATCCCCCTCAATATATAGAAACTGGTAATGTATGGTAATTTGTTCATCTATCTACTCATTGATGCCTGGGATAGTAGTTGATTGGCAAGGAGCGAACAGCTTGTAGAGAGGAAGAAATTTCCTGGGGTGTGTGTCCAGCAGAGGAAAAAAAAAAAAAAAAAAAAAAAAAAAGAGAGAGAGAGAGAGAGAGAAAATTTTAAAAAAATTGATGACGAGTAATTTCCTCAGTCATTGGTATATATCCAGCAAGACGTCGACAACTCTTCCGCGAGATCATTATCCTTCAGCAACGCAAACATCCAGAATATACATATCTCTCTCACTGCCTTGTCAGCTTGTATGGGAGAAGAAGACGCTATTATTCTGCTTGGTTGCGCTCATGTCGATGGTTGTGTGTATAGGTACTGTTATGTATGTATGTAACGTTAACCATGTATTGTATGTATGTTAAGAGTACCGGACTTATGGGTCTTGGTATTGAAATCGAAGGAACCAAGGGATCGGATAGGGTCGTAATTTACGCCCCAGAACATAACTTACCGTATTGTGTCACCCAAGGACCCAACAGCAGAAGTTTGGGCTCCATGCACGTCGGTTTTCCATGAGCTAAACCGGGCCACTGGGGCCATTGGCGGTCCGTCGCAGCTAGTTGTATGTACTGTACTCCGTACACTACGGAGTACACTGGTGTTCCGACGCTCTGGGACGGGAAGCCACCCCCCAAGCGAGTTTGTCCATCATGGCCAATGGCTATGTGTCCTCAAATGCGCCAGGTTTTAGGCTGGAGGGAACGTCGCATCCCAAGTGGTGTACTTTTTCTTTTTGGGGAACTAATCTCATACAATACAACATATGGACCCAATAGTTAGGTTATTTTGTATTGATTATTCATCTAGCTCCTTCCCTCCTTCTGTTGTTGAGTTGATAACTATGACGCTTCTGCTTCTTCTTCTTCTTCTTCTTCTTCTTCTTCTTCTTCTTCTTCTTCTTCTTCTTCTTCTTCTTCTTCTTCTTCTATTCTTCTCTTTTCCCAACTTCAACTTCAACTTCATCTTCATCTTCATCTTCCTCTTTAGCTGCTTCGAAGCTAGTAGAGAGCCAAGCCAACCAGGCAACCTTGTCACTAAATAGGTCTAGTGTTGAGAGTAGAGGGGATGATGAGTAGAACGGTTTTCTTTTGCAGACAAAATCGAATCTTCAGGTCATGATCTCGAGAATTCCTCACACTAGCAAAGCAACTAAAGGGAGAAGATGATTTGCTGCCCTTAATCCAATCCCCTGCGATTATGGGAGTTTATTTCTGAAATTCTCTTAGCGTCACAGAATTGCCCCGATCGATGTTGCGTGTTCCTAATGCAAGGGGTGTTTCATTATCCTCCTCCTCTTCAACCAGTCACAGAGCAAACATGGCTAGGAATTGACCAGCACAACTGATTAAAAACAGCCTGAATAATATTCACTGCGTCACTTTCTTTCAGCTGGAAGAACGACTAAGCTCAAGCAAGGAAATTTGAACCATTTTCCTATCTCCGTTCATGTCCGGTATGGTGTGCAAGTTAACATGGAAGGGGAAGCTCGTATACCACCAGATTCAGCAGCCAAAGAACGTCCTACGTACTCCGTACTGGGCAGTACAATCCTCCGCAGCGCTTGAAGTTGCTTCCACCAACTCTGTGCAAGATTCAAAGTTAATAATGAGCGAATAAATGGTCGTCCGGTCAGTAGGACCCACCATCAGGCCCTATCTCGAATCAAGTGTAAATCAAGTGCTAGTCCTTCGGAGGAGGTTACCATATGAGTTGGAAAGTGTTTGACGGACTCAACGGCAACCCCGGATAAACTTGCTCAGAAATGGACCATGAAGTATGCCAATGGGGCAAAAATGGCTTTGAGAGCCCATTATTGTTCAAGCGTTGGCATACAACTCCCATGCATGAACTGTCAACACACCTATTGGATTTGTTAGAAGCCCATATTTGCTTATCAAACACCACATCAATCCAACATATGACTCCGGATACGGCTACCTAGTGGAGAATGGGACAGCTCAACGCCCGATCAAATTGACGGAACTTTTCTGTACATATTCTGGGGCCCTCCAAATTCCACATCTAGGCCCTCTAAATGTTGTTGAGATGAGACTGAGCTTATCCAAGAACAAAAGTGGTGACGATTGTTGCGAAAAAGTCCAATTCAATTGTAAGATCAGCAGTCGCCGAAAATGGCTACTTTGACTTCATGGACATCTTGTCAGCGCCAAGCGAACCCATCCATCTTGACGCCATACTTTGCTGGGAGGTGCCCGCTAATTTGGGACTTGGGAAGGGAATAGAGACATGAGCGGAGGGCTGCACCAAACCAAACTTAGGCAACTAAAAGCCGGATGAACTCAAGCCTGTCGACTAACTTTTGGCCCCAACAGCAAACCCTGTTGAAACGAGGCTGAGATACATACAGACCAGACAATCAATAATGAGAATCTATTCCGTATTGTCCTGTACATCTCCGAATAAAATTATCCTGGCCGGACGTGGCAGCCACGCTTAAGTTTTGCGGCGTTTGAAGAAGGCACAGCAGTGTCGGAACTTTCTTCGGGATTGCGAAATTTCTGTACAAGCACGGCGCCCAGCATGTCGAAGTAGGTCTTCTAGGTTCCTAGTTCGTGCTTGAAGGAGAAGATTTAACGTGTCCTGAGCGCCCTTGCGTTATGGCAAGTTGACAATTCAACTATCCCCGAAGACCCCGAGATATTTTTTCCACCGATGTTGCTGTGAAATACAATACTACTACTATTAATTAATATACTCCGTACCGTACGACGCTGTTCTCAAAGCACATTGATACAAGTAGAAAAGCTAAGAAAGGGTGTGACATTACTGTACAAGCTCCAACCGACTACCACTCCGCCGGGATTGGGATGGCGACACAGCGCCCTTTTCCGCATGTGAATTTGTTATCTGGGGCTGTTTCACTGACCCATAATAATTGACCATGTGTCGTCACTTTTTTACTTTTCTGCACAAAAAAAAAAAAAAAAAAAAAAAAAAAAAAAAAAAAAAAAAAAAAAAAAAGTTGTTGACTATTACAAAAACCATAACTAACCAACATGATGCCCCTTTAAAAGAGATGAAAGGGATGATGATGTAGTGTATTGCATGATGCCATTGGTGAGCTAACCAAGCACCAACCAGACTGATGATTGATAGAAGGCCCCCATTTCTTACTACTTCACTACTTCAGTCAAGGGCGTTAGTGAAGTTCAGCGTTGACGTTTGTCCACAAGTCCTGATGTCTGATGAGTGGAGGGTAACAGAGCCCAACAAATTGTATAGTGTCAACTGATTGGACTAACTACCCTCTGTTCTCCTTCTCCTATTAACTCTCTCTGCAGCTTCCCCCCTGTCCTTGTCTTTGCGTTGTGGTGGTTTCAACCTCTTCGTGGTTTACTTGGGTTAAATCGCGTGCCCAGGTACCAACCAACAAACCCACAAAATTTCAGACATTTAATTCCCCGCGCCATGAACTTTGCCTCTTTTGATCATCTTCTCCATTCCATTTTTCCAACTGTTTTGTTTGTCCAGTCCCTGCTTCTGACCCGACCTGATCGCCCAGCCAAGAGACCCGCCCACCTTGGTACCGCTTACCTTACGGGGTTTATACTGTAATGTATGTACAGTACATACCATACGATACCATACCAGCTCCTCCACCCCCGTACCGAACCGTACAGCGCATCCCTCCCCATCCCTCCATCCCACCTTCTCGCCGCAACATCTCCAGGCCAGGCTATATTATTATTTGATGGGACCATCCTCTCCCGCCAGCCACTGTCCATCGCCCAAGTACCATTCAATTGGCATTTGTTCCTCGACTTTCCTTCTATTATTCTTTCTTTTGCTTCTGCGCCGGATTCGTTCACCCTCCTTGCCCGAAGAGGTACTGCGACAAGCTGCCCCTCTGCCCGACGCACGTTCGGAACGCTGACGATAGTAATAATAATAATATCAATCGCTCCATGTGTCGCTTGGAATAAAAGCAGCTCCCAGTATTTCCCCCTACGCTACGCCGATCTACATAACCCTCGTCTCCTCCTCAATCTGCTACGCCGGCTTCTCTCTCTCCATCAGCCTCATCAGACTCCCTCTGCCTCTTCTACCTCTTCCACCTCCTTCCTCTTCGCCCACTCCTCCCGTTGTCGTTCATTGGCATTGGAAGGACCCCTAAGGTCGCGTTTAACCTGCTGTCTGTCATTTTCCCTCGTTGGGTGGCATCACATCAGTAACCCTACTATGGACCTCTCAGTCCTCACCGATCTTGCACCTCGAAGGCAACCCCAAACAAAAGCTGAGTTAGACTCTCCGAAAAACGAGTCTCACGGAACTGTAAACTCTACGTAAGCTTTTTTCTTTTTCGTTTTTCTTCCATTTTATGCCCGTACAGTGTTTCGTTGCGCTAGCCATCTGCCAGCTGTCTCTCATCCATTCGCACGACCGAAATCACCTAACTATTCGCAGCCGTAAATCATACTTCTCATTTCTCCCAATAGAGAAATGATTGTTTTTATGTCCCTTGGCTAATGTCTATTCCGATAAACATAGGTACACTGAAGAATACCCTTGTTACGAGGAAAACGGACGATTGTATCATGGATTTCGACGAGGCATATACATGTATCCGTGCGATGAACTAGAACGAGATCGTCTGGATATTTTCCACAAAGTATTTTTGGTGGCTCGCGGGAATGTGCTACATGATGTTCCAATCAGCAATCCTTCTCCGCTTATGAATAGCCTTTCGGGGGGCCCTCGAATGGTTACCGATCACGGCCCTCGAATACTAGATCTTGGCTGTGGAACCGGAATGTGGGCAATGGAAATGGCCTCGCGGTACCCACACGCATACGTGTTGGGGATTGACCTGGCGGCGATGCAGCCCCAAGAGCACCCGCCAAATTGCGATTTTCAGACACCTCGGGACTATGAGAGCCCTTGGTTTTTGGGAGAGAATTCTTGGGATATGATTCATCTCCAAATGGGATGTGGGAGTGTGTCGAACTGGCCTAATTTGTATCAAAAGGTTATACGACACCTGCGTCCTGGGACAGGGTACTTCGAACAAGTGGAAATTGACTTTGAACCGCGCTGCCACGATGAGTTCTCGGCTGATCAGCCCCTTAATCGATGGTATTTAAATCTGAAGGAGGCAACAGATCAGGCGAATAGGCCGATCGCGCACAATCGAAGCACAACGCATATGCTGAAAGAAGCTGGTTTCGTGGATATAAAGCACCTGATGCTTGGCCTGCCGCTAAACACATGGCCGGATGAAAAATACGAAAAGGAGGTTGGAAAATGGCATAATTTTGCCTTTTCCGATAGCACCTATGCTCTCATACTTGGGCCTCTCAGCCGTGTAAAGGGCTGGTCGGTCGAGCAAATTGATTTATTGGCCCAGGAAGCACGAGCGCAGGCGTTTGATAAACGCACCCAGGTGTTCAATCTTCTGCATATATATACTGCCAGACGACCAGACAACCCAATCCGATGAAAGCGCACTTTTGTGCTTAATTTCACTAGTCCGACGTTTGAAGACAAACCCTTCACTCCCCACGTCAGTGGTTTCCTACCATCTCTTTCCCCCTCCCAAGATCCGGTTTGAATGGCACAATATCGATTCTGAGTACATCTTACGCGTTGTCCCGATAAATATGATTGCGGCTTCTCAGATCATCCCGAAACGGGCGGGACTGTTGTATTCCAGCTTTTGACTGGTTTGGTAGAGGCCTCGTCGCATACCCCCTTTCGGGTCCAAATGCCTATAGTTATCCTTTGACTTGTTGGTAAGAAGCATCAAATATCGGTGAAGGACCACTATTGAAAAGCTATGCAACTTGAAAATCTCGTTGCCCAACTCCAAGGAACAGTAATGGGGTCCGGAGACACACAAAAGTCCATTTAATTAATGACCCGACCAAACGACATTGCAACGACGAATTCCTTTCCTCCATTTCTTGTTTTGAAATCTTTATTCCGTCTTATGCCCTCAACAACTATAGACGTTTCCTCCCTGATTTTGCCTGCTCATTTAATTTTGAAAATTTTTCATTTAATTTTGTTTGTCGATCGTTATTGAGCCCTTGTACCTCTTCCATTCCGTCGGCTTTGTTCCACATCCCCTACCTACAGTCATCAGTTTCCTAGGCTATTATTCGTACAGCATTCTCTCCTGGGTTCCTGGACATGAATAATTTTTTTTATTATTAACCATGATATACACATAGATCGGAAAGACATCAAAAGCCATAGCGGGGGAACCATGATGGAGGTTTCTCTTGTTTTCTGTATCCTCATGCCTTCCTTTCTTTTGGTGAGGATGATATAATGACTCTCGATACGATGAATGATTGATGTCTAGCTTGTATGGCGCTCTCTCTTTCTCTCCATTCCTGGCCCTCTCTTTTCTTGCTTTGGTGACCCATTCACTAAATATTCCAAAGATGTTATCCTTCTTTCCTATTTGTTGTCATATATATACTGCTACTTTATTTTTCTTTCGATATAAACTATTTTTATCCTCCATATATGCATGTCCATATCCCTATTTCGCGCATTCTTCCATCCTAATCTCACCACGATTAATTGTCCAACCATACATCCCTTCCAACTATTACTATTGTTCATTTTTCAGGTGGGAGAGCGGAATAGAAAAATATATAAAATCAGCAGAAAAAGGTTACTTCTTTTGCCTTACCTGACCTGGCACAACTTGCTTTTCCATATATTCTTGCTCCGCCTTGCTTCAGACAGAAACAACCCAACGTTTTCCGTTTATCCAGCCCACAGGTTCTTTTTGAACTATACAATCCAACCAGGTGATTGGCTCCCTCCCTTTGTTTCTCTTCGCACAACCTCTTACTCTCGCTATTGTTTCTATTCTTTCCCACCGCCCCCAAGTTTCACTAGTTAGTGGTTGTTTTTTTTACTCATATCATTTCCACTGGAAGACATTGGAAACTGGTGGAAGATAAGAGCAACAATGCAGATGTTGAAGTGAATCGCAGAGCATGCCAGCGCCTCCTTCGCTCCCCTCTTTTCTTTTTCCCTCTTTGTTCTCAGGACCCGACAGAGCGGATACTGCACGCGCGAACATGGACTTGGGGGCTCGCTGCTGTATATCCAATTTAGCCAGTCACCTCCTAGCTCGTTGGTGCTTTTTTGCCATGATGCGGCGCGGGCGAGCGGGCTTCGCCGCTGGTTTTAACCCGGTTTTTTCGCTTTTTCTCTTGGTTTGTATGGATGTATGTAACTATGTACATGTACATGTACATACATACATTATGTGTGCGCTGACAAGATATTTAACATTGTTGTGGAAAATGATATGTGTGCTTTCTCTGTTTTCTCTTTGCTTTTTTTCTGTTGTTTTCTTTTTCCTTTTCTATTTCCGGATTTTCCCCTTTGGATTCGTAGCCTATTGTTTTCTTCGCGGTTGGTGTGATGTAGGGCAACGGGAAGGAGAGTTATATTGTCCTCCGTTTATCGGACCTGGAATGATGCATTGTTTATTTTATTACAAGTTGGAATGAAACACTGCAACATCCCACTATGATGAATATTAAGAACCTCCCAGGGTGAATGGTGCGCCACGTTGGGTAAGAAATTCAGCTCGAAGAACCAACAGGTATTTCACCCTCTAACAATAGATGTGCGGGAGAGTTCTTGGGGGCCTAACACAAGATAACACACATCCCATTGGCAAATGAGCACACACATCTTGAGCTGTCCTTTCATCATAATACATCACGATCGTCATTATTATCAAAATTCTCTGGTGCCTTATCTCCGCCGCCCCTTGTTTTGAGCACGGCCCATGCCATTATTCGTAACAGCAGCACCTCCGCTTTCCCCACCATTATTACCGCCCGCACTATTATTGACTGGTTCCTTCGCCGCACCGGGACTTCTTCGCCGCATGGTCCCCGGTCCCACAGCCACGATGTCATCCTCGCTCTCACTGTCGCTTATATCGAGTAGGACAGGCATGCGGAAGGCATGCAAGGCACCCCCCGCATCATCCTCTTCGCCCTTGACCGGCTCAATGGTCAAAACGTCCGGTTCCTCGTCCTCTAGATCTAGACGGCGCTGATGCACCTCCTCAGCGGGGTGGATGTCATATTCATCCTCGCGCTCCACATACGCGACATTCTCCTCTACCTCTGCAAAATCCGGCGCTAGCGCAGACCATTTCTGCGGGCTCACTATCGACCATGTATATATGCATCCCGACTCGAGGCCGCAGGCTGCCACCATCGGACGGCTAGGATGCCATTCTACAACGCCTAGTTCTTCCTTCGGGCCTTCGAGGATCTTCACGAGAGAACCATGGCTGCGTTCCCAGACGTAGATGTCATGGTTCATGAAGGTGGAGGCCGTAACGAATTCTCCTGTGGATGAGAAGGCGACGTGGTTCCAGCTCAGGCGGTTGACGACGTCTTGGAATTTGTGCTCGACTTCGAGCTTTATAGCGGAGGGATCGAGGCTGACGCCCAGCTGGGACAGGTCGGGTATCAGTATTGTGCGAATGACGCGGTCTGAACTGTTGACGAGTAGATCACGTCCGTTTCTAGCAAGGCGGAGGAGGATTACGACGCCGTTACATAGTCTCGTTGAGTGGATTGTAGTGCACGTTTGGGTTTCGATGATGTTAATCCAACCCTTCGATGTGCCTGATATTATGTGGTTTCCAAGTGCAGTGAATATTGTGACGCAAGTTGAATGTTTCGCGTCTTGTGCCGCTTGTTTTGCAACTACCGCCGGATCGGTGTCTTCGAGATGAGGTCGCAGGGGAGCGGAAGGGAGAATCCGTTTTACGGGCCGCGGTGCGGATATATCGACGAGAACTGGTTGCTCTTCAAACAATGAAGCGACAAAAAGCCAGCTGAGGCGTTTCTGGGTTAGAATATATTGGTAATGGTTGGAGGGGGTATAACAGTGGCATGACATACTGGTTAAATGGGTGGAATTCGGCAATGTATACTGGGGCTTCGAATCTCACGGTTCGCACGCGGGAGCCATCTTTCATATCCCATAATATGCACTTCCAATCCTGTGAAGAACTGAGTAGATATCTGCCGTCTCTCGACCAGCTAGTGCCAGTTAGCTCACCAGCGTCCGCAATATACGCATGTTAAATCGGTGGATGGTAAAAGCAAACCTTAGCGATTGAATCTGTTTGCTATGCCCTCGTAGCTTTCGGGCGACGCCATTGGTCTCCACGTCAAATATCACGACGGTGCCATCAACCTGTGGGTGGGAAACTCCGTTAGTTGACGAACTGAATAAATATCGGTTGATAGTGGACAAGCTTACTCGTCCAGAAGCTAGGAAGTCACCCTTGCGGTTGAATCGTAAGCAAGTAGCGTGTCCGCTGCCTACAGGAGAGCTTCATTGTCAGCGTTTGGTTTCACAATATAGCAGTGTTATAAGCTAGAAGCACGCACGGAGCTTGCCCGTGAGGGCATCTGGGTAGTCTTGAGCAAGAACAAACGGGTCAATCAAAGCCAGATTCATGGTGGCTCGTGGTGCAGGAATAATCGACGATATGCACAAGGATTCATCGAGGACATTGGGGTGGAGCACTCCAAGGATAACTGAGACGTTGGTGTGATCTCCTTGCCGGTGTCATTGCTGCCCGTTACCTCAAGGTCAACGCTAGCAGCCGCCTTGTCAATGAGGATTAGTCATCCCCTTGGTGGCTGGGAGAGCAAAATTTCCCGCACCAGCCCAAAACGGGGCAACAGTCAAAGGGTAGGCATTTCACTAAAATAAACCCAAGCTACAGCTGGGGTTACCCAAATGGGGCATAGACTCGGACAGTTCCGCCACGCAGTCAAACTCCAAGCCTGTTACAGTCACTAGCGCAAGTGAAGAATAATTACCTAAGCGGCTAGCGCAGTCCATGCGGCTCTGAGGAAAAAGTCGTGCTAAAACCCAAGGCGATCGCAAGTGAGGCAACTCTCAACACAATCTCCTTTCATCACCCCGACAAGACCCCCAACCATCAACATAACCCGGAGCATATCGCGTTTTACATCGCGGTATCTCTTTTCACGTCGCCTGATTCAGTATTTTCAGCGACTACGCTCTTTTTCGCCCCGAAATCACGTTCAAAGAGAGTTGGAAGGGTCGAAGGCGCCCTCGCGGCAGGGTCTGCCAAAGGCCGGCGAAGGCCAGCTACCGCGGTCGTTTTTCATCACCGGAGCGGTCGTTTTGACATTATCTCGATTTACCTGTTCAGTTTCTAGTGAAGGATCGCGTCACTGCCTGCCTAACCGCTAACGCTCCTTGCCTCTTACTGGTGTTTGCTGTACTTGTCGCCTTACAAACCTACTACAGTTTCCTTTCAACTGTCATCACATCTCTCATCAACTACAACCATGACGTCCGTCAAATTCCCCTACTCGAAGGCGCAGCTGCGCACGATTAAGGAGATCCAATTTGGTCTTCTCTCGCCCGAGGAGATCAAGAGGATGAGCGTGGTCCATGTGGAGTATCCTGAGACCATGGTTGGTGCACTTGGAAATGCAGCTGCTGTTTAATCACATTTTTCGTTCGTCAGCAGAAAACTGACGAGAGCTTCTACAATAGGATGAGCAACGGCAACGCCCACGGGAGAAAGGTTTAAATGACCCTCGTCTCGGTACCATCGATCGGAACTGGCGCTGCGCTACCTGCGAAGAGGGAATCAACGACTGTCCTGGACATTTTGGGCATATCGAGCTATCTACTCCTGTGTTCCATATTGGTGAGACTTACGTTAAGTCTAGCTATGCTTGGACTACCTAAAGCTAACGCTCACATCAGGTTTCCTGACTAAAATCAAGAAACTTTTGGAAACTGTTTGCCACAATTGTGGAAAGATCAAGGCAAATACGGTTAGTCATCCCTGATGGGGATGGCAAATCATGAGTTGTTACTCATTGCTGACACTGCATCTATGAAATCCAGACCGACCAAAAGTATTTGGAAGCGCTGCGTTTCCGCGACCCAAAGCGACGCTTTGATGCGATTTGGCGGCTGTCAAAAGATGTCTTGATATGTGAAGCTGATCCTAGCCCAGATGATGATGACCCTTTCGGCAAGGAACCTTCCAAGCCTGTGCACTCTCACGGTGGATGCGGAAATATTCAGCCACAAATTCGTAAAGAAGGGATTAGTTTGGTTGGGACCTGGAAGCCTAGCAAGAACCGTGATATGATGGACGATATGGACGTACAACAGCCTGAGAAGAGACAGATCACTCCGCAGATGGCCCTTAACATATTTAAAACCATCTCAGAGGAGGATGTTCGTTTGATGGGGTTGAGCAACGATTATGCCAGACCAGAGTGGATGATCATCACAGTTCTTCCCGTTCCTCCGCCACCAGTCCGTCCCAGTGTTCTCGTCGGCGGTAGTGGGAGTGGCCAACGTGGAGAGGACGACCTAACATATAAACTGGCAGAGATTGTTCGTGCGAATCAGAATGTCACCAGATGCGAACAGGAAGGATCTCCTGAGCATGTGGTCCGTGAATTTGAGTCTCTTTTGCAGTATCATGTTGCAACCTATATGGACAACGATATTGCCGGACAGCCACAAGCTATGCAAAAGTCTAATCGACCTGTCAAAGCTATCCGTGGTCGTCTGAAGGGTAAGGAAGGCCGCCTGCGTCAAAACTTGATGGGAAAACGTGTCGATTTTTCGGCTCGTACGGTTATTACCGGTGATCCGAATCTGTCTTTGGACGAAGTTGGAGTTCCGCTCAGCATTGCTCAGACTTTAACTTATCCGGAGGTCGTCACTCCTTTCAACATTGCCAAGCTAGGTGAACTTGTTGATAACGGCCCCGATATTCATCCTGGTGCCCGTTATGTTATCCGCAACACAGGCGAACGTATCGACTTGCGCCTTCACAAGGGTGGAGGTGGGAGAAACTTTTTGCAGTATGGATGGAGAGTGGAGCGTCATATCGTGGATGGCGATGTGATCCTATTCAATCGGCAGCCGTCCTTGCACAAGGAATCTATGATGGGTCACCGTATTCGCGTCATGCCGTACTCGACTTTCCGACTAAATCTGTCCGTTACCACCCCCTACAACGCTGATTTCGACGGTGATGAAATGAACTTGCACGTTCCACAAAGCGAGGAGGCCCGCGCTGAGCTCAGTCAACTTTGCATGGTGCCCTTGCAAATTGTATCCCCTCAACGAAACGGCCCGTTGATGGGTATCGTGCAGGACACTCTTTGTGGAATCTACAAAATCTGCAGTCGTGACGTTTTCTTAACGAAAGAGCAGATCATGAATATTCTACTTTGGGTCCCTGATTGGGATGGCGTAATACCCCAGCCAGCCATTTTGAAACCCAGGCCGAGGTGGACTGGAAAACAAGTGATCAGCATGGTCCTTCCTGCTGGTCTGAACCTTCTTCGGGTTGATCGAGACAAGGCACCCCTTTCGGAGAAATTCTCCCCTCTAACTGATGGTGGACTGTTAGTACACAGTGGCGAACTTATGTACGGAATGTTTTCCAAAAAGACGGTTGGAGCAACAGGTGGAGGTATCATTCATACTATTTTCAACGAGTATGGACCTGAACTGGCGATGAATTTCTTCAATGGGGCCCAAACCGTCGTGAACTACTGGCTACTACACCACGGTTTCAGTATTGGAATTGGTGATACAATTCCGGATCTAGCGACGATCCAGAAGATTGAGGAAGCAGTTCGCGTGAGAAAGGAGGAAGTTGATGAGATCACAGCTAGTGCGACGGATAATACTCTTGAGCCCTTGCCTGGTATGAATGTCCGTGAAACCTTCGAGAGCAAAGTGTCCCGCGCCCTTAACAATGCCCGTGACGAGGCCGGAACGGAGACAGAAAAGAGCTTTAAGGACTTGAACAATGCTGTTCAAATGGCGCGTTCTGGTTCAAAGGGCTCGATTATCAATATTTCTCAAATGACTGCTGTTGTCGGCCAGCAATCCGTTGAAGGAAAACGCATCCCATTCGGTTTCAAATATCGTACTTTGCCACATTTTACAAAGGATGATTATTCACCCGAGTCTCGTGGTTTCGTCGAAAATTCGTATCTCCGTGGTCTTACGCCCACAGAGTTCTTCTTCCATGCTATGGCTGGTCGTGAGGGTCTGATTGACACTGCTGTCAAGACAGCTGAAACGGGATATATCCAACGGAAGCTTGTCAAGGCCCTGGAAGAGGTCATGGTTAAATACGATGGTACAGTTCGCAACTCGCTTGGAGATGTTGTCCAGTTCCTGTACGGAGAGGATGGTTTGGACGGCGCACATATAGAAAATCAACGTGTCGATATTATTAAATGCTCGGATGAGAGATTCCGCGACAGATATCGAATCGATCTGATGGACCCCGAAAGGACTCTCTCGCCCAACGTGTTGGAACAAGCTACGGAAATTGCCGGCGATATCGAGGTACAGAAGTATCTTGACGAAGAATGGGAACAGCTCTTGAAGGACCGGGCCTTTATGCGTAGCGTTGCCAAAGAGGACGAGGAAATGATGCAGCTGCCAATCAATGTCCAGCGAATTCTCGAGTCGGCGAAAACGATATTCAGAATTCGAGAAGGTGCCATTAGCGACTTGCATCCTGCAGAGGTCATACCTCAAATCAGAGCCCTACTGGACCGCCTTATCGTTGTTCGTGGTGACGATGTGATTTCCCGGGAAGCACAAGAAAGCGCCACCCTACTCTTCAAGGCTCAGCTCCGCTCCCGCCTTGCATTCCGCAGACTTGTGGTGGAATACTCTCTTAACCGGCTCGCATTCCAGCACGTACTGGGTGCTATCGAAAGTCGATTCTCCAAGGCGATGGCAAACCCGGGTGAAATGGTTGGTGTCTTGGCTGCACAATCAATTGGAGAGCCAGCAACACAGATGACGTTGAACACATTCCATTTTGCTGGTGTTTCGTCCAAGAACGTTACCCTCGGTGTGCCTCGTCTGAAGGAAATTCTCAATGTGGCCACGCACATCAAAACTCCTTCTATGACTGTATATCAGGACCCTAGTCGTGCTATGGACAAGGAGTCTGTCAAGCAACTCCGCAGCGTTGTTGAGCATACCAGTCTGAGGTCTGTTACGGAAGCGACGGAGATCTACTATGACCCTGATATCCAATCTACAGTGATTGAAGCGGACCGTGACATGGTTGAATCCTACTTCATTATCCCCGAGGATGTCGCAGATGATTCGAGCCATCAGTCGAAATGGTTGCTTAGAATCATCTTGAGTCGACCGAAGCTCCTTGACAAGAGTCTTACAGTCCAAGATGTTGCAATGAAAATCAAAGACGCTTATCCGCAAGATATTGCTGTTATTTTCAGTGATAACAACGCTGACGAGCAGGTCATCCGTATCCGACAAATCCAAGACTCTAAGCAGGATGACGATGATGATGACACTGAATACGATGTAACTCTAAAGAAGCTGGAAAGCCACTTGCTTGATACCCTTACTTTACGAGGCGTGGCTGGCATCGAACGCGCATTCATCAATGAGAAATCGAGAGTCCGTGTCTTGGAGGATGGATCTCTCTATCAAAGCGCCGAGGACCCGTTGTGTAAGGAGTGGGTTCTTGAAACCAGTGGATCCGCCCTCGGCGAAGTCCTGACCATCCCTGGAGTTGATACAACTCGCACGTACTCTAATCAGTTCATTGAGATTCTTGAAGTATTCGGAATCGAAGCTACTCGAACTGCACTTTTGCGAGAATTAACCCAGGTGCTTGCATTTGATGGATCATACGTCAACCACCGTCATTTGGCCCTCCTCGTCGATGTTATGACTTCACGGGGCTTCCTCATGGCAGTCACCAGACATGGTATCAATCGTGCTGATACTGGCGCTCTGATGAGATGTTCTTTTGAGGAAACAGTGGAGATCCTACTTGACGCCGCTGCGTTTGCAGAGCTGGATGACTGCCGTGGTGTATCTGAGAATCTGATCTTAGGACAGATGGCCCCAGCTGGAACTGGGGAGTTTGATGTCTACCTGGATCAGGATATGCTCATGGGAGTCGTTTCGAGCAATGCTGGTCTAATGACTGATGGCAAAGGATTACTTGGTGACGGAGCGGCTACTCCATACGATAGCAGCTCCCCTTTGCGGGACAACATGTACATTGGATCACCAGACCCTGACTCCAATTTCTCCCCAATCAGACAAGCTGGATCCGAGACGCCTGCAGGGTTCACCGAATATCAGCCCTCCGGGTTCAGCGGTGGCTTCAGCCCTCATGGAGCAAGAAGCCCAGGTGGAGGTTATTCGCCTACCAGCCCGTTCAATACCAGCCCAACTTCTCCTCGCTACTCTCCATCGTCTGGCTACTCCCCGACTTCTCCTGGTATGAGCATTACGAGTCCTCGATTCATGTCCTCTCCTGGGTTTTCACCCGCCAGTCCGGCTTTCGCGCCCACTTCGCCTGCCTATTCACCAACTTCTCCAGGCTACCAACAGTCGCCAACTTCGCCATCGTATTCTCCTACCTCACCTGGTTTCTCCCCCACATCCCCTAGTTATAGCCCAACGTCTCCCAGCTTCAGTCCTGCCTCGCCTGCATTCAGTCCTACTTCTCCTAGCTATAGCCCTACGAGTCCTGCCCTCGGCATATCGACTGGAAGACATCTTTCCCCGACATCTCCTACATCTCCCAAATATACACCCACGTCCCCTGGCTGGTCTCCAACTAGTCCGGAAACCTACTCACCTACCTCTCCCAACTTCTCGGGCTCGCCAACTTCTCCGGGTGGCCCAACATCTCCTGGCTACAGCCCGACCTCCCCTACCTTCAACCCTACGTGAGTTATTCTACGTTTATATGCTCAGAGACCAAGTACTAATATTTATTTTTTAGATCTCCTCGCCAGTAGGCTCGACGTTGTTTATGTATTTGCTTTCGAGAAGAATTCCTCTTCCCTTATTTTCATTTCGCGATGGTTTTTTCCCCTCATCACATCGCTGTACTACCACTCCATGTCATTAGCACTTGCGTACCGACAAAAAAAAAACAACCATCCCGCATGGCTAGGCTTTGTATTAGTTGGTTGGTTATTTCTTCCAATGATGTGGCGTTCTTTATTGTGGCTTGTTCCTTTCACAGCCTTCCATCTTAGCCTGGGTGAGTACTATTGCTTTTGTTTTCTTTTTCTGCCCGCCTCTTTCAGCCCCCTTTAAGATTGTAATGTTTTCTGGCCAAAAAAGGGTTTTTTTCTACAGCGGTTTTATCCAACGATATGAGGAGAGTGGAAGAGAAACGAAAAATTGAGAAGAGGAAAAAAAACTGAAAATAATCACTAGATGTTTGGCACCCACGCACATAATATATAGCTCGGCGTTGGAGATGCTTTCTGTGCTTTTGTGCTGGCGTCACTTGTATAAGGAGCTCCGATTTACTTTCTTTCGCTTTCTTTCTTCTCTTCCTGTTCTGTGTACACAGATTAACTACGTTTCGTAGAGAAAATAAAAAAATACAAATCGGGAGTTTCATTTTTTGCATTGGCTCTGGTTTTTCGTAACTTGCTATCCTAAGCGCTGCGCTATTGCTTCTGCTTACTACGCAATCGGCACAAAAAACAATTTTCCCAAGCCAGGAAGCAGAAAACTTGACCTCGCTAAGTGCGCCACTTGACCTCATTATGTAAGCTGACCTCACAAATGTGGCCTGTGCCACTACCTGACCTCGCACAATACATCTTTTCTTGTAATTTGAAACCACTCTTTCTTTCTTAATTATTTATCATCAATTCTACAATCAATTTTTAATTGATTGTAGAATAATTCTTTTCTCTTATCATAATCTTTATACACAGAGAAGACTTTACTAATCTTATTAATAATTACAATTCTTCTTCTGATACTGAGATTATTCTTGAATCTGACAATGAGATAAGTATTTACATAATTTACACTGAATTGATTGTTAACTGGTTTTCAATTGATTACTAATTGCTTAAATATACAGATTGAGTCTGTTCTTATCTCTCTAACTGATGCAACTGTCTATTTAATATATATCTTTAAAGTAGAGTACAGTTATGATCTGTCTGAGTACTCTAAGACTTATATATAAGAATATACATATGTGATATTAACTGAGTCTTTAAATATTGAGAAAATGACATAAATGATGAATAATGTAGATAATCTAAATTAATTCTCAATTAATTAACAATTAATTAATAATTGATTCAGATTCAGTATGAAAAAAGTTCTGTTCACTCATTTAAAGAAATATATTACTCTTTTCTTCATTCTAGAGTGAAGAAGTACAAGTTTAAATACACTGATATCAAAGTCTGTTAATATTTAGATAAAAATTTATATTTTGTATATTATAATGAGATTACAGAGAAAATATGAACAAATACTTAATAAATGCAGAAGAGTATTCAGTTGATTGAGAATAATCAGAGAAAATGCAATACTGTTAGATATAAATTGATTGTTAATTGATTGAGAACTGATTGAGAGTTGATTGATAATTGATTTCTTAGCTTTATACAGGTAATTTAAGTACTGTTTCAAGAAGAAACTTTCTATATATGATTTGCAGAAATCTGTGTATCTGTCTTTTATCAACATGAGATTTCTTTATGATTTATTTAGCTCTCAATTGATTGATAACTGATTGTTAATCAATTAGCAGAATGTCACTGAATATCATGCTTCATTTATTTCTTATGTGAATTCTTTCAAGACAAATTATATTCATTACTTCTTTCAATTAGTACAAGAAGTTACACAGATGAACATTGAATTTCTTGAAAGAATCTTGTATAGACTGGCCGCTGAGACTATGAATTTCACATTTGATCTCATTTGATCTGATCTCATACATTTCTTGGTGTGAATCCTGCTGGGACTAATCATTAAAAAAACATGTAAAGCAACTATATATCAGATCTCAAAATGAGATCATGACTTAGAAAAAATAAGAAAGTGATCTCATTTAATCTCATTTAGTCTCATTCTTAGTATAAAGTTACTATTTTTAGACATTTTAAGGTTTTTTTTAGACTATTTTTAATTTTTTAAAAAGTAATGCTTTTTGATAACACTTAAATAAGATTTAAAGTCATTTAAAGCAATAAAAATAATTTAAATTAAGAAGTGAAAATCATGATCTTATTTGAAAAATGTGATAAGAGTAGACAGTAAGTCTCACTGAGAGAGTATAAGACTACTATCTAATGTTAAAACAGTGTAATGAGATCAGTTGAATTGATAATAAGATTATCAAATATTCTGATTCTGATCTCAGACACGGTTACACGGTCAGTCTAATCTTGCAAGAAAATCTTTTTTTCATGAAGAAGAAATGTGAAGTTATGAAACAATCAAGAAGTATAACTTGTAGACTGATCACTGAGATTATGAATTTCACATTTAGTCTCATTTAATCTGATCTTATACATTTCTTGACATGAATCTCACTGGGACTAGTCATTAAAAAAACATGTAAAGTGACTATATATCAGATCTTAAAATGAAATCATGACTTGAAAAAAATGAGAAAGTGATTTCATTTGATCTCATTTAGTCTCATTCTTAGCATAAAGTTACTATTTTTAGACATTTTAAGGTTTTCTTTAGACTATTTTTAATTTTTTAAAAAGTAACACTTTTTGATAACACTCAAATGAGATTTAAAGTCATTTAAAGCAATAAAAATAATTTAAATTGAGAAGTGGAAATCATGATCTCATTTGAAAAATGTGATAAGAGTAAACAGTAAGTCTCACTGAGACAGTATGAGACTACTATCTAATGTTAAAACTGTGTAATGAGATCAGTTGAATTGATAATGAGACTATTAAAAAATCTGGTCCTGGTTTCAGACACGGTCACACAGTCAGTCTAAGCATAAGAAAGTTTTATAATAAGTAATTCTCAATTGATTCTCAATTGATTGATAATTAATTATTAGAATTTGATTATTCTGCTGATCAGAAAACAATGTAGAAATTATCTTACAATGTTATTTTTCATGTTATAATTTCAGTGAATTCAGTAAACTGTTCTTATATGCTGTTTATCTCTCATGAAAATCATACACATTCTTCTTCTTCTTTCAACAAATCACCTGCAACAATTATGAACTGAATTCTCATCTTGATTCAAGAAATGTGAGAATCAAATATGACATTGTGTGAGTTCTAATTGATTCTCAATTGTTTTTCAATTGATTGAATATTGATTGTTTTTAGCATTCTTTCTCAAAAGTCCTGCTTTACAGAAATTTTGTGATGAGTATAATAGTCAGAGTCTGGCTGAAATTCACATCAGTTTTATCAATATGAATTGATTTCAAGCTATACTATAAAAACAATGACTATTGAGTTTTTCTACAGGTTAAGATTATAATAAAGTTCTATTTCAACTAGATCAAAATTCAGCTTTAAAGGTAGAATTAATTTTGAATCAATTCACAATCAGTTATTAATTAATTGTATATAGAACTATGTACAGAACATTCATCAGAATGAGAAAGGTTTGATGATTATCTGTATATTAAAAGAACAAGCAGCTCTTCTTCTTAGTCTTTCATCTTTTGAAGTTAATATATCATACAAATGTATTAAATCTTCAAAAATGAATGAGGTGATCTTTGCAACATATCTTCCTCAGCATGGAAAAAGTGAGTGCTTTTTAAAGTATTTATTGATTGATTCACAACTGATTAACAATTAATTCATGATTAGTTATTATCTTGTATTAAATCTTTACAGAGCAGGAAAATTCTGAGAAATATTATCACTTATTTCAATGAACATTTGCAGTAGTACAAAAGCTGCAGAATCAATCTGTTTCTTTTAACTATCTGCATGAATTGAGAATACAGGCAATTATTGTGAATATGTGCATAAAACAGATGACTGATAATTAATTGATATTCAATTGACAATCAATTGACAATTCTCTGCTAATCAATTCACTTAGGCCTAGTATAATATCTTGCATCTATCAATTCTGAACATTGATTATTTAATTGACAACTGAAGAATATTCTTATCTTTTATCATATTCATTTTTTCCGCAGCATTTCCAACATAGTGAGAACTAGACTGGCCGCTGGGATCATGAATTTCACATTTGATCTCATTTGATTTAGTTTCATACATTTCTTGGCGTGAGTCTCACCAGAACCAAGCCTCAAAAAAATCTGAAAATGAATCATTTCTGAGAGAAATGACATGAAAAATGACCAGATTTAATTCAAGAACAGTGAAATGAGAGTAATTTCTCAGAATAAACTATGAAAGATGATTATTCTTTCAAAATCAGAATGAGACTGAGACTGAAGATTAAATTCAGTCTTATTCAGTTCATTCAGTGATTGCTTATATAATCAGAATTTAATAATGATTATTGATAACACTCATGAAACAACTAAATACATTCTTATATAAGTTTATTCTTCACTTTCTTATGAAAACTACACTTCTCTGATATACTGTGATCAGAGATATTAAACTGTCTGATAATTTCATATTTTATAATCATGAGTTTCTTGATTATTTCTTCTTATAATTGTTCTCAGTGATAGTGATAAATATCTCAACTTGAGTTGAACTTTCACTTCATTTTCATCTCTGTTAATAAAATTGTCAGAATATTACACATCATCAGTACAACAGTTAAATATATATTTTCAACAATTTTTCATAACTCTAGAATTGATTTGATATGTAAATTTATTAAATTATCTTGAAAATAGTGATTAAATTCAGTTTTATAAGTATGTAGTTTTACCTGATTTTCAGTTGTAATCAATGTATATAAGTTCTGTTTCAAAGTTAGTATTATAGTTCTATATGATATGAAGTGTTATTAAAGATTGTTACTTACTAGAAAATTATATTTCACTATCTTCACATCTTTAACATCTGCTCATTCAAATTTCTGATAGTTGATATTATAGTAGTCTTGAGTTAATTTAATATATAAGTCTCATTTCTCCTCTGTTCAATCTTAAGAAGTGTAGATATTAACTCAATGAGAGAGATTTAGTAGAGCTGCTACAGCATAGTACTCTGTAAAAGATTGTTTAGTTTTACTGTAGTAATATACTAGTTTATCTCTTACAGTAATAATAGCCTGTGCTATAGCATTATCTCAGACTGAATTTCTTTTTAAGTGATTCAACTGCTTCTTAAAATAAGTAAATAAACTGTTATACACTCATCAGACTGACTGCAGCATTGATATATAAGTGATTAAGACTGTCTTTATTATCTTATAAAACTGAAACAGTAAATCAATCACATATTTCAACTATATTTACTTTATATCAGAAAGTTTCAATATCTGAATCTTTTCTTAATCAGAGTGTTGTACTCAATGATCAATTATCTGATATAATTGAAGAGTCTGAACAGTTATCTTATATATTAAACTTCACTGTATTCTAACATTCTATATTATATTCAGTGATGTGACTGATTTGTTTATTTATTAAATATCATGAAATCATTATTATTATTTAGAGAAGATACAAATCATATTAACAATGTTTCAAATCTGTGATATTTAAA